TAATCTTTGATAAAGGCCAAAACCAAATGACAAAACATTTAACGCTATTGCTCAATAGTTGTGCCCATTTCATGCTTAATGGGAAATTATTGGAGTTTAAAGTCAAAAACATGTTTAGGTGGTATGCAGTCGGCATTTGAGTTGAGAAGACATTGTAAGCATTTCTTGACTTCTTGTTGTAGTCCACCACTGATTAAAGCCATTAGGTGTTTAATCACTCATTGGATTGGAAGGCAAGATTGTAATACACATTATCAACTTGTCGGGAACCAACCACTCATTTCAATGTTTAAATCATTCCAATCAAGTGTCATCAAGCAACATAGGAATAAGAAAAATGAGATTGTACACTTCATTAATTATTGGTTAATTTGCTACATTTGTGAGGAGGCATGATCATGCAAGTATAATTTTCATATCAGCTTGTGTAAAATTGAATAGAATCAAGTGGGGGCAATTCTCTTCTCCTTTCTTGGATTTGCTATAACAAGTGGGACAAATTTGATTAGGGAACATGGAACATCTTCATGTGTTGAATGGCAGTGAAGGATAGCATCCAAAAGTCTGGTCAAGAGGTCCAAGTTGAGTGGAAGGAACCCCATCAAAGTCCTCCTTCATTAGCTTTTGCATCTTCATTGCTTCAAATGCCTTTGCTCTCTGATAAACAAAAAACATTCTCATTAGACACTCGAGGAAATGCACTGAAATTTGGTACTTTTAACTATATAACTTGGACTAAATCATATATAATGTGGCACGAATCAATACATATTTGGGTTTACCAACAACATTGATATGGGACTTGAATTTGAGATATTTATATTCTTGCAAGTATAAAAGGAGCATGCAAGCTTTAATTAATAAGCAAAATTAATGAGCTATGCAATGCGATAGTTCAAATTTCTCCAAATAGTCAAAGCACCTGGAGTGTATCTATGGTGTCTGTTTCTCTGTTGAAGTCGTAGAAGTTGCTTGCTGCTGTAAGCTTCATGGACAAAAACTGAAACCGACCAAATTAATTAAACTAGTTAGTGCTTTGTTTTTTGTTTCTAAAATTGTGTAATACTTGATTAATTTGTTTCAACTCACTTCAACTTGATTTTGTAAGGACTGCACGTAATTAATTATCTCATCCAACATCACTGCCATGCCCATTGTCTGCAATTCAATGACGTACACCGTAGGTTTAATTAATACTGCACCTTTTTTTTTAGCATATTAATTGAATTAAAATCAGAAATAGAGCAATATAATACAATTAAAGAGACATATACCTTGTGGCAGCCTGGAACAATGTCTTGCAAGCACCTAAGCCTCTCATTGATTTTTCCTCTTCTGACCTGATCAATCGACAAATGTGTTGGACTCATAATACAAAATTGTTATTCTCTATGATGAGTCGAGTGACACTAGCTTCTAGCAGACATTGACATTGTTGAAGAAAAGGGCAGAAAAAGGTAAAAGAAAAGGAACCTCTGACTTATCCAAAATGGGGAATTTGGTCAAAATTACATTTCGAAAACTTACCCTTTCTGCTAAACTGTGACTATCGGTAGCTTGGCCTCTTTTAGCTCTAACATGTACCACTTCTTTTGGTTTCTCTTCATCCTTCCTATTGCTTCTTATCCTTTTTCCTTTTCCTGTAATCTGTGAACACTGAAGGCAATATAAACATGTCAATTCTACCTCAAATAAATGGCTATGAAAAAGATTGAATTCTAGAATGTTAAGAAATACGATGATTCATTGAAGTATTGAGAGACCTAAGAGCCTTACATTTTTTGTTCTGCTTCCATTTTCGGAGATTTGAGCAGATGAATTAGCTGAACTACTTTCCGGGGTGTCTGTTAATTTCCTTTTCTTACCTTCATGAAGGGTATGATCATATGCAGAAGAACAGATGGGATCAGGAAGTGAGAGGACGTTCTTGAAATCGCTAGGGAAAATGCCAGGGAAGTTTTCTGCTAAATTTCCGGGGAACTGATCAAGGAGTTGACTGATATTACTTTCATGGAAAGAAAATCCCATTGAAGGCTGCACGTTCGTAAAGTTTGAGGAATCTAAAGCTCCTGGATTCAACTCTGGAAACTGACTCATCATTTCCATGTTTGGATCAACATCAGATAAGGAGAATGATTGTCTGATGTTTTGCACATCCGAAATGAAGTGTTGAGCCATGAAAGATTATTGAATATATTGTATTGGCAGTTCTTTTGGTAGTGGGGGAGTCAGTGCCTTATATATAGCGGAGAAATACTACTGATTACTACTACTGCTACTACTTTTTTTTTTTTACGGTACTATTTTCTATAGCATTAGAAGATTGGAATGGTGCAGCATTTTAGAGGGCCGCGTGGCTTTTTGAGTCTCTGTAGTTTTGTTCCCCGGGTAGGACCATCTTCAGGAGATATATATCCAATTAATCTGGACCCATCAATTTCCCTTTGAGCTTTCCATATCAGAAAAACATACTTGCAAGGTAACAAACTTCATTAAGAAGAAGTCTAACCAACTGTTTCTTTTGGGGCACAATTTAAGTTGAGGGAGACGCATCCTTGCGGCTGAATATCATCAGTGAAAGTGGCAATGGAAACATCACAATTTGAAAGATCAGCTGAATAATTTTTACTCCTTTCTGATCTGAAGATGATCAAAAGTTGTGGACAAGTGTAAAAGCAAGATATAGTCCTATCCTGGAAAACAGTGGTTTGGTAGGCAGTTCCTTTTGCTACGTTTAAAACTAAACCATCTTAGTGCTATTCTGTGTGGAAATCTTGCAGACAGCATCAGAATAATTCATTTCACGGATGAGGTGAGACCATAAGAATGATTAGTATGCAATTCATTTGGTTATTAGCAATCGCTTTCAGAAGTGGTTGAGGACTACAGATTGAATTTTGATTGACCAAAATTATTTACATTGGTGAAAATGATCTTTCATCAGACAGACATGAGGATAAGATTCACCACAATTCCCCACTCTTCACTAAATGCAAGTGGTTGTTTGCTTATGACCAGAAAAAGGGAAAAGATTTCTAGTGGAATGAGATAAAAGATTAGATGTTTCATTTTCATTTGCCTTCAACTTTTAAAGAAACCCAATGGGTTCAACCCATCTAACAAATATTGTTAAAAAGCGATCAGAAATTAACATATTCAGAGGCAAGAGCTACTTTTCAGTCGGCTCCTTTTAAAAACTGGATCAAAGAATCATTAGCTAGCAGAAACGAGTTGTTTCTTTTTATTTCTTCAGTTTTCTTGTTTCCACGTTGAGTATTCACTTTTTAGATGAATTTTCTGGGGCCGCCCTCTGTAATTTCATTTGCCTAATGTTTGACTCCTGATGCAATATGTGAGTGCAATTTTTGTATGCAATAACTTGAATTTCTTTGAAATTTTTTTTTTTCATTGTTAAAACTTTACATAACTTCTTTCTTGTTTTGAGGAACCTTGACATAATTGAGCCTTTATGGCTTTATCTAACCGAAGCCTCTTTTTTTTTTTTTTGTCCCCTTAGGTTTTTGTGGGGGAAGGGAGGAGGGCTGGAATCTGGGCTGGAAATAGGAGTTTCATACAGCCCTGTCTACTAATTTAATAACTATAAATTTGACCTGCCACTAACAGAGCTGGAATAGCTCAGTTGGTTAGAGCGTGTGGCTGTTAACCACAAGGTCGGAGGTTCAAGCCCTCCTTCTAGCGTATAAATTCATTTTTTTTTGGTATTTGCTGTTTTTCAAGTTTGTAATAATTTATTTTTTTGGTATTTGCTGTTCCTCAAGTGTGTATTAATTTATTTTTTTGGTATTTGCTGTTCGGCAACTTTGTATGCTTTTGTAGTATTAGCACTTGCTGAGATTTGGTACTTGTTGTTCCTCAAATTTGTATGTTTTTTGAGGTATGAATTGGGGATGCTATCGAATCTAGTCAAGTTTGAGTATCGCTATACTTGAGTTTAAACACGGTCGATACTAGTGCTACTGACAAGTGCGTAACATTAAGGTCGAACTTGAATCAAGGCTATCGTAATTAAGTTTGAGCTCAAGAATATTATGAGCCTTTTCAAGTTCGAGCTCGATTTTTGCAAAGACATGAACATATAATAGTTAATTCATAATTAAAAAATATATATTATATAAATAATATAACTACTCAATTAGGCTTTTCGAACATTTGATGCTAAATACTAATGCTCGAACTCGACTTATTATATATATGAAACTGAGTTTGAACCGAGTGTATGGCCAAGTTGCTCACGAGCTACTGCTTGCCCAAGTTTGTATGAGCACTTGCTATTCCTCAAGTTTGTATGCTTTTGCAGTATGAGGCTATGAGCACCAACAATATACAGTCCTGTAGACTAGTTTTCTCACCCCTTTTTTGGATTTTGGTTAGTATAGTTATTTACCACAGTATCCACGAGACGAATCTGGTCATCAACACTTGGGTACTCGCATACAGATTAGTAATTCTAATTAAAATAAATAAATAAATCTTTGAGCATTATATCTCATCCCTCAAAGTGCAAATCTTCACTAGATAAGGACTGATGCATCAGCTCCATAATGATGTATTTCAAAAAGACAACTCCTTGTTGATTCACGCCTTTTTTTTAGGTCATGTGAAAACTTCAACTTAATCAATTGTACTAAGGTTAATGAATGGTTGATAAATATATTGAACTGTGATATTATTGCAGTCCTAATTATATCTTAAAAAATGGAAGCTAGTAACTATACAGAAAAATAGTGGGCTTAGTTGTTTATATATTTGCTAATAGTATGGTAATATGGTTTCCTCTTGGGTTGGGCTGAGCACAAGGGAAAACTTGGAAGCAACTACTTTATTAGGTCCAACCTCAGTCAAGCACAGGACAACAGATTTTCAGAGAGCCCAGAATGTGAATGTGCGCCACGTGTTCAAGACAAATTGATGTATGGATGAGGCACTTTTCTGTCTAGACTCCAGATATTGTAAAATAGAGGAAGATATCAGATATAACTGCAATCATATCCACAACTAACGAGATAGATTCCAGATATACATTTGATTTTGATGGTCTACTTATAATATCCACTTGAAAAATAACTCCTAGTGCTGATATTTTGCTGCAGCAATGGCAGCCAAGGTGGCAATTTCTTCTGCTCTAGTCACAAAATTTGCACCAACCCACAATCTCCTCTCTCCATCTTCTCAACCTAATGCTTTCAGCTCATCAAAGAGAAGGCAAAATTCTGTCCAAATATCTGCAAAATTGGGTAAGAGTGAAGTGTTGCTTATACATTTTTTTTTTAATTATGTTTTACTAATTTATGACTGTTTTTATGTGGTAATTGGAATGAGGCTAACGTTTAACTTGATGACCTTTTCCCCTTGATACTGATTAGGAGGAGAGGAGGGAGAAGTCAAGCAGGGAGGGAAGAAGAAATTCATCACTAAAGAAGAAGAACCAACGGAGTAAGCCTCTCAAAACTCTCAACCACTCGTTTACTTATCTTCCAGGAAGGGATAGCCTTTTCCTGGCTCACTTTCCTTGTCCACATTGGCAGCTGTGGCGACCTAATAGGATTATAATTAGTTAGTTTCAACAATGTATATAAATAAAGTATTTGAATATAGCATTAACTTTTCATAGCAGTATTTTTGTTGAGGGGATTAATTGGCATAAGATATTTGCTAAGTGTAGGTATTGGCAGACAGCAGGAGAAAGGGAAGGGGAGAATCCCATGAAGACGCCTCTACCTTACATTATCATATTTGGTATGTCGACACCCTTTGTAATCTTGGCCATTGCTTTTGCTAATGGTTGGATAAAGGTCCCAGCTCGATGATTCGTTACTGGCTAAGTAATGCAGGAGCAGGCATGGGTGCCAAAATTGCTATGACTTTGTTGTTCTGGCTTTTTCTTAATAATTTGAGTTTGTAAGTATAAGCATATCCATGTTCTGTACACATTTTCCGCTGATGACAACTATTTTGTGATAATAAAATGTGTAACACGCTTAGAGCCTTGACAAGGTATCTCCGTTCTCCATTGAGCTGTTTTGCCCTTGGCGGTATGAGTTCTCTCCATCATGTATGGTATAGCAGTTTCATTTAATGCCAGGTATATCAGTTCCTCGCATCTCTTGTTCAAGCTCTCAAATATATTCGTATAGATGTTACACTTGCTTATTTTTCCTAGGCAGTTCCCTGTATGTTTTAATTTGCAACCTTGTTGAATCAATCCACATGAATTAGAACATAAATGGCAGATGTAGATGACAGATGAGAAAAGAAGAACCTCACTTGCGTACTTTAGTCTGTTCAATTAAGAAACTTATGCATTCACGCTGATATCTTAAAAAGATTGAGAAACAGCATATAATGTTCCATGCATGGATCATTACTTCATTCCGTAGTTGGCATTTTGAAGTTGAAAAAGATCAATGCAAATTTCGAGATAAGAATCATCAGCTATGCTAGTACAAATGTCTTGTCCAGTAGGGACTAGAACTGCATCATAATATGAAGGACAAATTACGAATTTAAACAAGTCTTGACAGCAATGCAGATTTAAATGTGTTGAACAATAAGTTTCCAGCAAGACATCAAGTAAAGCCCTTTAGAGTAAGTTCAATGGTGCATAAAAGTAGATGTCTTAACTCTGAACTTGAATTTTTAGCAGAAAGAGATTCAACTTTAGTGTAGATGCAGAGTGATGCTTACTGTTTGATAAGGAGAGGATGCACAGAACCAGAGGGTGCAAGAAAACATTTTGCTATTTTGGCTGATCAAGATTTGCTGCTAAAGACAACCCTTGCTGCATTGCCAGTTTATACCTCGTCCCATACAACTTTAGTCATATACCCCGTCCAATAAGCTGATCAAGATGGAGTCTCACTGGGAAGGCTAATTTGAAAGAGAATAATCCCAAGTCTATTTACGAAGCAAGTGTAAATCCAATAGGTACTCATCTGCAGTAGCATCCTAAAGAGAGAGACATCTGAGGGATGGGTTGGATAAAGAAATGGAAATTTGATGAATATCTTGGAAAACATTATTAATGGTTTACATCAATGTCAATTTCTCCGTCAAAAGGACTCAGGAGCTTAATCAGTAGGGTTCCCTTTCCTTCGAGTAATGCATTAATGAGGTGTTTGCAGTGGATGGAATTTTTTTTGTTCAATTATTGTCATTATCATGACACATTCTTGTGATGTCAGAATTTGGCCATCTGCATCAAAGATAATCTCAGAATTAACAAATTCTTGCCGTATACAACTTATTTTTCTTGTGATGACACAGTCACTATAAGGAAACAGTGCAGTATTTTGTCATTGATTTCATTTAGTTCTCAAGTAATACAAATCACGATTGCGCCATTGATCGCGCATGATTGATTATCTTGATTCTCATCCTTAAACTTCATTATCTTCATCCCATTGGTGTTAGAAGAAAAGAAAGAAAGAAAGAAAGAAATTGCTAATCTTCATCCATGGATTGCGTGGTCTTCTTGTGGTCTTTGTACAACTTCTGACTTGAGACTCCATGCCATGCCATCCTTTCTTCCTAGCTACTAATTAATCAAATCTTCAACATTCCTAGTCATATTTCATGATTGTTTGAAATGATTGGCGGAGTCTCTCTACTATGTATGAAGTAAATGTTTCCAGCGGCTAAGATTACGATTTTAACCCTTATCAAAAAAAAAAAAAAGATATTTAGTTGTACCGTACAAGGTGAGAGAAAAATAACTTAGAAATGCGAATAAAAAAAAGAAGGGATACAAATGACGTAGAAAATCAATTAAAGAAGGAAAAAAAGAGTCCAAACTTCTGGAAGATCAGAGTTGCACTTCGACACCAAACCAAAATCACAAGACAACATTTGGAAACGTTTCATACACTATTGAAATTTTGTTTAGTGGCCATCTAAGGAAGGCATTATTAGTATTTGAAAAAATTTTCTCCAATTTTGTGTCCAAATCAGTCCATAAATGGGCGGAAAAAGCTTTTAAAATTATAATAATGTTAAAATCAACTCGTCCAAATCAAGCCCTTTTTTTTTTTTTTAATCTTGAAAAATCTGGCTAAATGATGAAATGTTCCATTTCTCTCACTTTTTTTTTCTTTTCTCATCAAATATTGACTGCCAAACTAGTTGTTAAATTTGATTTACAGTTAAAAAATAATTTTTTTGGCTAGGTGTGGAAGTCACAAGTACCACTATGATGATGATAATTGATAAGTTCTCCTCCTCAATTAAAAAAAGCAAAAAACAAAAAACAAAAAAAGAATGTTGTGCTAACTGCTACGAAAGTCCAATTATTCTTCTTCCTGAGTTGTGAAGGGGGGGAGCATGTTGTCTTACCAAAAATAAATTATAAGTAAAAAGTGGTACGAAATTAAAAATAGAAATGCAATGAAGAGAACCACGACCCGCTTCCATCAGTCCAAACGAATAATTCCAATCGCTGACTCTCAAGTAAGATCGAGGAAACATGAGGAATTCTTTTTTTTTTTTTCTTATTGAAAATTTCTAGAAAAAAACGTGAGAATTTGATTGCTTTGCACTAGCATGTTCCTAATTGTTTTTTTTTTTTTTTTTTTTTGGCTTTTAAGTTAGTAAGTTAACGCCGTCCAAGCTATATACACTTAACCTTGACTAGAATCAGGAGACTCCAAAGTTGTACTGCGCTGGATATAGTAGCTTTGTATGAAGCATTGAATGGCATCTAGAAGCATAGAATCAGCTCATTCTTTATATATATTCCTTTAGGATTGTCGTCAGATGTTTATATTCTATTTGCCCTGAATCTTGACGAATTGCAGCCCTTCTGCGAATAGTATGTGACCTGTACTCGGGCTCTCAACGTGAAATACTAGTAGTAATTGCATTTACGGCAGAAATAATACCGTCACTAAAACAATTGGCTTCCATTAAAAGAAGGCTGCATATTATTATTATTATGGCAAGAGCATATCAGCAGAGAATAAGAGAATGCAAGAACCTTCATGAGCATCGCATCCAAGGGATTCCTGATATTCAAGGAGTCATCAACCCGAAACATGCATTGGAGGCAAGATGTAGATTATAAAAGTCAAATTTAGCTGCATTAAGCATTAGCAGCCTCTTACAATTGTCCTACTCCTCGCGTGTTTCCAAAATGGATGTATTCTGGAGAAACCAGAAGTCAAGTACCAAATACTTAAAAAACGTACCACTTCTGCTTGAAAAAGAAAACTACAACTCTTAAGCAAAATTGACAGAAAATCAGATGACAGCCATGCAATTGGAAAAGGGAACTGTGTTTTAAGATTCCAAGCAAAAGCTAGATGCCTAGAAATATGGTTGCCGCCCCTATCAGTTAGACGGACATAAATTAACCCACGTTTTGGTTTTGATTCAGGGTTTCATCTTGGTTAGTCAAGTACGTTTTTTATAATTGGAAGAAACTAGAAATGACAAACCGCGGAAGTTTTTAAAAACTAATTCCTTCTAATGATCGATTCAAGGTTTTGTAATTGTCATTGTCAAGAATGCTGTGTTGCCTTCAATTTCTTTGTCAAAACTGCCTTTTCTTTGATGATCTAGCTCTTCATTGATAACGGTGGGTATTATCTTTTTTTCCATGTAGGAACTTTAGGACTAGAGAATTATTTTTTAGTAGACCTATGATGTAATTAAAAAGGAACCCCAAGCCTCGTGGTATCTAAGCTGATTTAACAATTTCGCAAAATCACCCTATTCCTCCTATTTTCTTTTCAAGAAAATGGTTTGAGCTCGACTTTACCATATTGAAGAAGACCAAAAGCTATTTTGATCATTTACTTTACAAGGTAAAAGTCCTGATCCGGCCACCTTAATCGACCCTACTTTTGTTCCTTGATATTGATACTCTGTGTTACTTACGGGGATGGCATATTGAGATTTTCTTTAAGGTGGCATGCTGGGATTTTAATTGCCTCTAAAAGATTATTGTATTCCATTAAAAGTGCATGTAAAGCTTTAGTTCTCAACTTCACTACATAGGGGAAAATATTAGGTATCTTCATATTGTAAAATATAAAGTTTTGCTAGAATTAAAATAAAAAAAATGTTTGAAAATTATATTCAAAACACATTATTTAAAAAAAAAAAAAACATACACAGACACATATTATATTAGGGGGAGGAAAGGGTTAGGTGGTATGGGAAGAAGGAAGTGTAAGTGAAAAATCTCGAGTTCGAGACCTTTTCAATTATACTAAAAAGCAAAAAAAAAAAAAGAAAAGGAATTGTACTACTCTATATTGGCATATGGTGGATCTCTACTAAAAGCACAACTATTTTCATATTTCAATCTAGACATGGTCACGATTCCAAAACCGTTGGTTCCAATTTAAAAACCAAGGGTTTCGATTCTTTAGAAAGGTAGAACTTGAATTAGCCCATAGAGGGACGGTTACGGTTGCGATATTTGAACTCCTATATATATATATATATATATATGTGTGTGTGTGTTTATTGCATTATCATGTGCGATGAAAAAGAAAAAATGTGTAAATTTTTTGAAAAATATCGCATTATTGATTAGATTAGATTGGTTTTAGATTTAGATTAATCATTGATTATAGATTTACTAAAAGAATGGGACAGTAGATTATTAGATTAGGACTTTAATTACTGGTATTAGGTGCTAACTATTGATATTGGACTCTAAACAAGACAAACAGGTTTAAGTAGTAAATATTTTTTTTAGACGATTTGAACAGATTCTAAACCGCCGGTTCTGGTTCAAAATTTTAGTGAATCTAAACTTGAACCTTTAGTCATGGTTATGATTTCGGTTTCGGTTTCGGTTTCCAAAACCTAATTCAACAAACCTTCGAGCTAATTTCGGTCCGATTTTGGTTTAAACCTAAACCATGGCCACCTCTATTTCAGTCCTTAATTTTCTCGATGTAGAAGAATAAAAGAAAAATTAACCTGGAATTCTGCTTGTGGGCGATGTTATAGGTACAATATTCCAGTGATTTCTTATGTTTTGACTGGTTGAAATTCTAAAGGAGAGTAAAAATTCCAATAGAAATCCTATGCTACATTGACCAAAAAAAAACAGAATAGGGAAAAGAAAAGAAGCTGTGCATTATAAAGTCTGCTTTCGCGGCTACTTCCTTTGAAAAGTAACATGTGAACAGTGGGTTAGAGTACTAAGACCTCGTACCTTATAAATCATGGATTTGCTGCTGTTGCGTCAGTGCTTCGCCTTCAAAGCTTAGACTCGTAAGCCCAATTATCAGTTTGTCTTGAAATTCCTCAAAATTCTCGGTACCCTACTCAAAATAGAAGCCAGCCATGTGTTCCCTGTCTAAGAGTACAACTACAAGCAGTTGTAGTGATGATGATGCCGCAGGTGGTGAGCTCAGGAGAGGTCCCTGGACTGTTGAAGAAGATTCTCTTCTTGTTCATTACATTGCTGCTCATGGTGAAGGCCGATGGAACTTGCTAGCGAAACGTTCAGGTAAGCACATATGTTCGTTGCCACGAAAGCTGAGCACAAAATCAATGTTTCTTTTCATCCAAAGTTTCAACTGTACAGTTTTGCTGAAATTTCGTGTTGTGTACACATAGGATTGAATAGAACTGGCAAGAGTTGTAGATTGAGATGGCTCAACTATCTTAAACCGGATGTTAAACGAGGAAATCTTAGTCCAGAGGAACAGCTCTTGATTCTTGAGCTTCATTCCAAGTGGGGCAACAGGTATTCATTTGGTAATTGGCTTTTTGCGCTCAAATGCACACTTTTAAGTCTGTTTAGATGAAATTTGCGCGGATTTGGGCCCGAATTTGCATCCTCATCCCTACCATTGCATGTTTCACCTTCTGCATTCGTACTTGTCCAGTCCCATATGATTTTGGATCCTGAAGTTGAAGTTGTACTCGGATGTGAAGAAAATTAAAAGGGCACGATTCAAATTCAATTTGCTTCCTAATACTGAATTTGGACGCCGATGAAGCTAATTTGTTTCTCATAAATGATAATGAAGGTGGTCAAAGATTGCACAACATCTTCCGGGAAGAACAGATAATGAAATCAAGAACTACTGGAGAACAAGAGTACAAAAGCAGGCCCGCCATCTGAAGATAGACTCCAACAGCAGTGAGTTTCAAGAACTAGTTCGCCGTGTCTGGATTCCTCGGTTGCTTCAAAAGGTACAAGGAAATATTGCATATTGGGACTCATCAGAACATGACAATTTAGCTGAAATTCAGGCAGCAGTTAGCAATTCAATGGCAGCAAAACAACCGCAACAGGTACCATACAGTTTCCCGGATAGTCATCAGAGAAACATGATTAGCAGCAGCCCATCAAGCATGTCTTCATCAGAATCCACGAATATCTCTCCGGTCCCTCAATTTTCCGAATACATAGAAAATCCCTTTTATGACATGGCTCCCAACAATTCCTATGGTCATTCTCAAAATGAATGTTACAATGTTGACAGCACTAGTTATCAAGATATGGAAAACTTGAGCTCAGCAGCACCTGTTACAGCGATGGGCGGCTCTACAGGGCCAGCTGGTGATAACTACTGTGCACAAAACAATTGGCTGAGTGACGATCTGGGATATTGCTTGTGGAATATGGATGATCTCTGCCAATTGAAGCAATCGCAAGAAAGATGCACTCAGATTTGATCGTGAAATAATCCCAGGAAAGCAAATTTGTCGTTTATAGGGATGATTAGATATTTTTTAGGCAGAGTGATATTTTTCTTTACGCAACATACAAGATGAGGACGATTAAATGTAGAATACAGATTTAGACAGAAAGACTTCAGTGATCATTTGGAGATTCCTTTCGAGCTTTGGACATTAAGCACACAGTCCAAAAATCCCGTAACACATGTGGGTTGTCTGTTTTGCATTATGTGTATAAAATAAGATTGGGAGAAATAATTTGTATAGGAATTGTAGACCTGTTCTTTCAATGTAAGCTTTTTTTTTTCTAAATAATTGTTATATTCAAGATTGGAAGTATAAAAAAAAAGGTTAATTTTTCTTACACTGACAGTGTATACACCGTCAGCATTGGATGAACGATAACTATATAAAATTTAAATTTAAAATTTAACTTTGGCACACGTGTCATAAATCCAATGATAATAGTGTATACATTGTCAGTGTATATAAGATTTAATCAAAAAAAAAAAAGAAAAAGAATTATGAACAATGATATGTAGGCAAATTGAGCTAATTTTGGATAGAGAGAGGGAGAGATAGGCTGCTTTATTTGTCTTATTTAAGTTTTATCCCTCTCCAGGCTACTATTCATATTTACCAAGTTTCAATCAAAGATTTTCATCCACGAGCAGGGAAATTACTAGTTTGCGGGATTTTGGGAAGTAAAGCACATTTTAGTGTAACAATCTCAATTGACTTGGTAAGAATCAATAAAGCATATTTTTTTCTGCAAACATGTGCCAGTTTCAATTCCTGCCCAGTTATAACCAGCTTTTTTTTTTTTTTTTTTTTAAATATAAAGAGAACGTCTCATTTAGCAAAATTCAACAATTAAAACCTGTTGATATTGAACTACTCCAACTCATCTAAATAAATTATCTGAATTGTCTCTCGGTTTTATTTTAGAAAATTTTTACTCGTTGTCTTTTAGCCAACAATCAAATTTTGGTATACTGTCAAGTAGCAATGTTTGATCACAATCTTTGGGTCCTAACAGGCCCACGACAAGTGATACGTTTTTTTTTTTCTGTTTGTTTACCTCTCACCCTTCCTAATCTCAACTATTAAGTTTAGGTTTCGAATTCTGAACCTAAAAACTAGAATTCAAATCCTGAAGAGTTCTTCCGAATTACTAGACCAATTTCAGTGATTCCCTAACCTCAACTATTAAACATAGATTTCCAATGTAAACTTAAAAACTAAAATTCGAATTCTAAAACTGACAATAGAGAGAATTCTAAGAGCTCTCAGCAATCACTGGACGGATACGTTGTTAACTTATAGCTGTTGTTAAAGTCTCAATTATACGTTAGTACGTAAGATAATGCTTCCCAACTTCATTATTTAGGTTCCTGGGACCAATCCTAGGAAACAAGGTTCTGATTTCCCGTAATCATCATCACCACCTCCACTACATAAGAGACTTTTTTTTTTCCCGCAGACTCCGCATTCTTTGAAAAATGAAAGGCTTTCCAGAACGATAACCACGACGGAGAAATTTGGTGTGATAATAAGAAGAACGAAGAAAAAGTCCGAAGTTACATATCTTTAAGAATTCGGTTTGTGAACACGTTCGAGTTTGAAAAGATTGGAATTAAGTATGTGAGTGTTTTTTTTTTTTTTTCCTTGGTTTGGCCTGTGGCGCGGCGAACATTGCACATGTTACCTCACGAATTTCGTTAATGGGGATAGTCAACATCGTGGTCTAACTAATGATTAATTGTGACATCACGTTAATCCCAAACTTTGATGCAAATAAATCATCATTACATGATGCATGTGAAGTTTAGAGGATTCGGTTGGAATAATATACATTCTATTTTCTGCTAGAAACAAAAGCAATAGGTATGTTTGAATTGTGTCTGCCTCCAAAGTCAAGGTGCCTTTGATAAAATTGAAGTCTGAAATCTGAAATCTTGAAGTCTGAATTCATTAAATTATTAAATTATTAAGTATTAAATCTAATATATTTAAGTTTATATTATATTTAGTGATAAGTAAATAATTTATCACTTAATTTTAGGAGCAAATTTTATCTAGAAAATTCAGCGTCACTTAATGATGTTCAATTTTTTGTTATTAAACGCGTATGAATATGTTAAGGTCTGAATTCATTAAATTTAAGTAATGAATTGAATTTTTAAACATGGGTTAAGTGAGGATCGTGTTCAATGGCTCATATATATATCATATATATATAGTTCATCTTATCTTATATATAACAATTCACCTAGCCAAATGGCCATGAAATAACATGTTAAGCCCTGGAATTGAATTATCCAACCAATGGTCCAACACAAGCACTTCTGCAAACCACTCCTTCATGGTGTACTAACATAAATTATTTGTCTTTACGGGTTTAAATTTTTCGAATTGCAATTATTGACGGTCTATCTTTTGGGCTAAAACTTGTTTTATGTGATCAAAGCGTGCAGATCAAAACACACTATGTCAACAACTTAGGTCAGAAATTTGGGCAAATTCTACTTTGGCTGCTTAAACTAATAATAAAGATGCAGTCTCTCACTTTGGTCTTTGTACTTGTAGGTTACATATGGAATCTATCACAGTTTAGTTCGTAAACTTCACTTGAATATTTTATTCCTCAAAGTATGAAACCAATCTCATAAAATTGTCAAGACTAACAGAATGATAAGTAAACGATGCTCAAAGTTCAAGAATTAAAACAGGACGGATTTCATACTTTAGAGAATAATTAAAATATCCAAAATTGAAGTAAAGGAATAAAATGAACTAAAAAACCTGTCATACCTCAAGTAATTAATCCCACGAAAGAAAATGCGCTCAATCAAATATGGAAGACCGTTGGCCTCTTAACTGAGTGCCATTATGTATTAATGTTTGTATAATTTTACTTAAAAGTTTCAACTCCCCGGTGCTCTTTTTCGTTGTCTCTCCTAACCTTGCCGTTCTTTTTTCACCTCTCCACTTGAATGTGGAGCGTGGAAAAGTAGTGCTGAACCATGTCAAAATTAGATAAATTAGAAAATCGATCCAGTTCAACCCGAATCTCGTTTGAAGTGTTCAAATAACACACTGAGCGGATCCTTTCCAACCATTGACTTTTTTGTTTTGAAAAAAAAAAAAACACACACAATTTCTTTACTGCTTGATAGTTATGTTTTGACTTCCAGTGAGATGTCATCTTAAAACACCAATAACAGATAAGCTTGCTGTTGCTGGTGAAGAACATACCAACTTAATAATAATGATGCTTGAAATTTGAAGCTGTGGAGCGTTAATGTGACAACATGAAGTACTATCAATCAATCTTAGTCTAATATTCGTTTGAATATATACTTCATTTGCGGCGAATAATTCTGTAAAGAATCAAAGACGTACTAACCAAGAAAACCGAGTGATGACTGATGATTATATCATATCAGGCATAATAGACTCAGTAATTCGTATGAGAGATTCAGAGTGACGCGTCTTGAACTGTAATTGAAACACAACGGGAAATTTTTGAAAATTGGGAATAGGAAAATGAAATAGTCATAAGAAGAGCGTAACTTGTCTTTTGATAGATACTATGTGTGAATGGGAATGGGCTATTATTCGCACATTTAAATAGGTAATAAATTTACCATTAAATGACTGGATCAGCCTCATAATAATGCGTACCTTGTTCAATAACACTGCTATACAGTTACTCAGCTTAATAAATAAAAATATGCATTTTGATGAACATACGTGCGCGCGCATATATAAATATATATATATATATATATATGTATATATATATATATGAATATGCATATTCAAAACCATATATGTGCACGTATGCATACTGAATTATGCATTTTAAAAATTTTTAATAGTTATATCCTACTTATGAATTTTTTATCGCCTTGTTTTCTTTTTTCAAATTTTCCCAAGAGGCTATGTATTACCGGCACTCATTGCACCACGTGTGTACTTAATAACTACAGACTTTTCGTTTGGCAAGTTAATATTCTGTCAAAGTATACGAAAGCTAGTTTAGTTCGTCTTAACTAATTGCTTAATAACCACATACTTTTCGTTTGGTAAGTTAATTTTCTGTCCAAGTATACGAAAGCTAGTTTAGTTCGTCTTAACTAATTGGGTGTGTGTGTTCTTTCTGTCCATGGAAAAAACAAACCATTTATTTGACGAGGATGTGCTCGGGAGGGCCCACATCGAAAGATTATGGGTTCTTTAATGAATCTGGGTTTAAGGTCATTAACCGCACCTCCTGTCACCAATTGGTTGGAAGGTGTTGGTTTGTGGGTCCCCCTTAGATTAGTCTCTGACTCAATTTGGCGATGACTTTCTGAGCATTCTAATCTAATTGGGTGTGTGTGTTCTTTCTGTCTATAGAAAAAACTAATTGCTTACATGTTTCATTTGCTGAGTAGCTTTTGCAACCATTTGGAGTTGATGAACTATTGCATCTTGCGGTTGGCTTTTAAGTTTTAACAGTTAATCAGAGGACATTGTTGACCCCTGTGAAATTTTTTTTTCCAAAATTTGTCAAATGAATTGTGCTGGACGATTTTCAACAATCTAATTAATAAAATTGCTATTCTTTGCTACCGAAAAGTAAGTTGGACCAATATATTTAGGTAATCCATAGATTATTAGTATTATCAATCGTCATGCATTAGTGGAGAATGCTTATTGGCAAGCAGAAAGCTGAGAAGCACCCTTAAGGCTAAAGCAATCGTTGATCCCATCCATCTTATCTAATCTAACCAAAAAGGTCAAGTGATTTTTCACAAACAACTTCATTTCGATTTTTTTATTTGCATTCACAAATCACGTTTTCAGTGTCTTTCTTGTTTTCAAGCTATTAAAAGCTGATCTTGATCGTGATAACTGATAATGGTCAAGTTGGACTGGTAGATGTTGAAAAGAATAGGTGGCTGCCAGCACTGGAGAAAAATTGACAAATCCATGGAGAATCGGGTTCCCAGAATTAGAGAGAAAATTCTCAAATATGGAATGAGGTAGCTGTCACTGGATTAGGATGATGACCCACCAAAGCTTAGATTTGATTTGAATTTGGTGACATTTCTCCATGACCATGGGTCACAAATTAAAAATCGACTTAGTCTATAGTGGACTCGTGGAGTGAAAGATTGGAAAACACGTACCTACAATACATTAATTACTTATAAACTTCCCATTGTGAGTGAGTTTGACAACCCCCTTTTGCTAATTTGCTCCCTTCTCTTTATATTTTTCGCTAACGGCTAACCCAAAAAAAAAATAAATAAAGAAGGACCATTATGAAATTGGAACTATTTTGACCATAAGATGGCAAATTGAAAGGAAAAA